TCCTTCTCACCACTGTCATCTTCTAACATCTCATCCAGTTGCTGCAAGTCTTCAGGAGTAAGTTCCTGCTCATGAGACATCACAAGCTCTTCTACATCATCCTCCACTTCGATGCCCATTGACTGACCAATGGACACAATCTCCTTGTCCAACTCTGCTTCTTCCTCAAATCCATCAAAATCATGAACTGCTGATGGCCACAGTGCTTTCCATGCAGAATTGAGGGATCTAATGGAGACTTCTTGCCATGATGAAACAATCAAATTTACAGCCTCCAGGATGTTAAATTGTGTCTTCCAGAACTGTGCCAGTGTTAGTTCAGGATCAGTGGAAGTTGCCTGATGACACCTTCTGAACATTTTCTTCATGTACAGCTTCTTGAAGTTGCTGATAACATTCTGGTCCATTGGCTGTATAATTGATGCAGTGTTGGGAGGCAAAAACAACACTTTGACAAAGTCAAATCTAGCCTCCAAAGTGCTGGCAAGTTCAGGGTCATGACCAGGGGCATTATCCATAAGGAGAAGAGCCTTTAAAGGGAGTTTATTGGTGGTTAGGTAGCTCTTCACAGAAGGGAAAAACACCTCAACAGCCCATTCATTAAAGTGCTGTCTTGTCACCCATGCCTTACGGTTGGACTTCCAATAAACTCCAAGCCGTCCTCTTACCACTTTTTGTTACGTGAACACCCTGGGGTTCTCAGAGTGGCAGAAAAGCATAGGCTTCAGTAGGAAATCCCCTGAAACACTGGCACCAAGCAATAGAGTGAGACGGTCTTTCATGGGTTTATGCCCAGGTAAAGAGGGTTCATCTCTGGTGATGAATGTCCTTTTGGGCATTTTCTTCCAGAACAGCCCAGTTTTGTCCACATTGAACACTTGCTGTGGAAGATAATTTTCTTCCTCCACCAGTTCCTTAAAGTCCACTACAAATTTTGCTGCTCCTTCTTTATCTGCACTGGCAGCCTCACCATGCCTAATAACAATGAAAATGTCACTTCTTTTCTTAAATTTTTCAAACCAGCCTTTGCTGGCCCTAAACTCTTCAAACTCTGTCCCAGAAGAACCAGGTTGCTCTTCCTTCAAATGTTCATAAATTTCTGTGCAAGAATTGTCGACACAGTTGATGCCGACATGCCATAGTCTTTACTAAGCACATTTGTTCTAATGCCTTGTTCACGTTTCTTTATTATTTCCTGTTTTACCTGGATTGAAATCGCCTTTCTAGATTTCTTTGGACCCATGCTGGATTCAATATCAACACTAAAATTTTAAGTTTAATTGCTGTAAATAAAGATTATTTTATTTAAATCAACACTGCACTATATATTATCAATATGTTAAATAAATTTCAGAGGGATACAAACTGACGCCTTTGTGGGTGAGTCAAGTGGCTCATTGGTGCACCAAAAACTAGTTTCCTGTACTCCAATTACGTTAAATGAGTGTTAAAATGGCAAAAAATTTTAATATAAAACTTGGAAAATTATTGAATAGTACAACCTTCTTGACATTTACTCAAATGGGAACGAATTTAAGCCCTAGAACCGATTACTGTATTGGCGGACTAATATTCCAGCTGGTGAGGAAGCGAAAACATGTTGACACGATTTCGTAAGAATTTCGTTAACCAAATTTTTTTCGTTAACCGAAATGAAGATTCTTAGGGAAGGTAATTCGTTAAACGAAATTTCGTTAACTGAGGCGTTCGTTAACTGAGGGATCACGCTACTGACAAGCCTAGGAATTTATGTGAAAACCTGGATCTTTATTAATGTTAAAAGGGATAACTATTAAAAAGTATTTTACTGTATCAGTACAGTCATGCGCTGGTTAACGTCCTAGATACGTTCTTGGAAACGTGACGTTAACCGAAATGAACGATGTCTGATCATCAGAAACTTTTTATTTATACTTACGTGTATGTGGAATACTATATACGTACATATACACTTTTACTCTTAAATCACTACTGTAATGTGATACAGGTGATTAATTTTTATCTCTAGTGCAAAATACATGACGTTTATATTAAAACTATTCACTGTTTTACAAGGATTCCAGCAACGCCAGCAGATGGGGAGACAGAGGGTGGGAGCGAGCGAGGGGGCGTGGGGGGAGGGGAGGTAGTACGTTTGACAGTTGGCACAGGCCCAGGTCTAACGAGTGTATATTTATCAGTTCTTAGGTGACTAAGCTTCTCTCTTATAAAAAGCCAGTGAAATGACCTGGGTGAATATAATTAACATTGCTGGGATTCTTGTAACATACTGATTAATATGAATATAAACATGCTATAATTTGCACTAGACAAAACAATTTTAGTACCGTAATCAAATTAGTACATATGCACTAAGAAATCTATGTAAATGTACCCAAAAATACAGTTGAAAAACTTTTTTATAAAATGTACTTCAGTACTGTACACTAATGTACAACAATTTTTATCTCTTGAGCAAAATATAAGATGTTTATATTCAAATTATTGGCTGTCTTGCAAGGATTCCAGCAATGCAAATTAAAATCTCCTAACTTTAGTCTGAGATATTATATAAGATAAAAACTGTAAGCCTAAAAGCCTGGCTGGGGGGGGGGGGGACGTAGCCAGCCACGCCACCCAGCGAGGGGTTGGGGGGTTGAGGTGATAAGTTTGAGGCGAAGGTCTCTGTGTGTTTATTTAACAGTCCTACTAAGCTTCTCTCATTTTAAAATGCCAGTGATATGACCTGGGAGAATATAATTAACATAGCTGGGATTCTTGTAAGATAATGATTTATTTGAATATAAACATGTTGTAATTCGCACTAGACATAACAATTTTAGTACCGTAATCAAATTAGTACATGTGCACTCCAGCTTTGCACTAAAGTCATTTACAGTATTTCTTTTACGTTTCTTTTAGTATGGTGTGTGCATGTAAATGTATGAAAATAAATGAAGAAATTTATGTAAATCTACCCAAAAATACAGTAGAATTTTTTTTTATAAAATGTACTACAGTATTGTACACTAATGTACTACATTTTTTATATCTTGAGCAAAATATATGACGCTTATATTCAAATTAATCTCTGTCTTGCAAGGATTTCAGCAATGCAAATTATATTATCCTAACTTTAGTCTGAGATATTATATAAAATAAACATAAAGAAATCACCAATCTTTTATCTTGAACACTAGGGTGGTGGGAAGACAGGGGGGGGGGGGGACAGACAATGTCTAGCATTTGTTTGTTTATTTATTTGAGATAAGATTTGACAGTTGGCGCTGAAGGCCTGCCTGCGTGTTTATTTATCATTACTTAAGAGTGACTAAGCTCTTCTCATAATTTTCCACCCAAACGACCTGGGTGAATATAACTTACATTGGAGGGATTCTTGTAAGATAGTAATTTATTTTTATTTTTTTCAATTTAAATTTTAATTGTTTATTCCTTGATAGAGGAAGCAGGATCCTAGTGCTGTCACTTGGTACCCCTGTACCATAACACCAGAAGCAACTGGCCAGTGTCACAAGTATATACAGTCATCCCTTGGTTATCGCGCCTAATTGGGACCCCGCCGATAACGAAAGTACAGAACCTATGGGATTTATTCTAATTGGTTCAATCACCCATTTTACGACCATTTAGACCCACTAAATATATATATAATGTTATGGTAAATATCATAAACACACATAGGCATGGCTAGGTTTATTACAAAGTATGAAAAGGGTACGCTTAATACTGTAGTCCACAAAACATGTAGCTATGCTTTTTTTATTTGGTTCCCCGTCATACGAGTCCGTTTTCTCTCACACCAGGATGCCTGAGGCCTCCGGTTTCTCTCTTAATCTTAGAGTGCACCAGAAACTTTACTATTTTTAGTAATGCCACAGAATTTGAAATTGCAACCCCAATTGCAACTTGCAATTGTTGAGGCAACTAGATATGTCTGATTACAGCAAATGTGTTATTGTCAATTAGTAGATGAAAGATTTTATCCTCAATAGATGTAGGTTAACATTTCACCTGAAGGCAAATGCTTAGAAAAGCCTAAGTAAGGAAGCATATTCCTTTAACGCATAATATCTGACCAGTATGGGGAGGATCATCGTGTCTCCGTCAGGGGGTCGTGGAGTGGTGGTCCAGCAGGCGTCACGTGTATTTTTTGGGGGGGGGGCCACGGACGTATAAGCGATCGGATGTTGTTCGGTCGGACGTTAACTGGCGCATGACTGTATTTATATACTGTACAGTGAGTAAAGAGAATTACAGTACTACCAGTTCAATAAGTACAGTATAAAGAAGAGATGTTTGCAGCAGAAACTCAATCCATTCACCAAAGTTAATGACTAATGCTAGGTTTGCCACTCCCAGAGTGTGATCAATTAAATACCTGTATAGTCAAAGTCTGCAGATGACAGCTTGCTCGGTTTCTTGCCTATCTTGGGGCATAATTTTATTTTCAATTACTGTACATATATGTCCTATCAAGCGATGCAGCTGCTTCAACCTCCACAAGACTTGTCAATATATCCACCTTAGTGTCTCTTGTTAACATCTTAGGCTTCTTTACTTACTTGAAGAAGAACTTGAAGGATGCTTTAGCACAACCACTATCAATGGCAAAGAGATACAATTCAGCCACAAGTACTGAAAAAACTCTCCACACATGTTCCAAGAGCAGTCTGGTGTGTGGTATGTTTTTGCCTGATGCCTTACAAACCAGAAAGATGAAGAGCATAATGTGTATTTTATATTTTTGTAGACTGTAGCCCATTATAAACAAAATCAGTGTAGCAAACCATATAAGGGTAAATGCAGTTCCTGTGAAACCTGCAAAAACAGAGGTGGTGTTTAATTTTTTATGTCTCAAGCTGAAATATTGGAATATCAACTTGAAACCCCGACACTTCAATTTGAAAGCTTGAGAGAGTAAATTTGATACTACAAAATACAATACTTACTATACACTAAACAGTACCTAAGAGAGAGAGAGAGAGAGGAGAGCCACTAACCTTTTCCTTATAGAGGTTACTGGCGGCAGACTCCATCCTCCTAATAATTTGCATCTGACGGTAAAAGAGGAGAGCTTCATCCCTGGTGCAGGTGGCTGTAGCACTGGGAGGTTCTTCAAGTCGGTGCAGCTTGTATGGTTGAGTTTTAAAGGTGGCTTCTGATACAGTGCTGTTACTTCTAACAGATGTCATAAAGGGTGCCAGAGCTCTCTTTAGGAAGACATGAAATGAAAACAAAATTATTAAAGCATGAAGAACACCAGAGGTGGGGCATCATGCAAGCATAAATTAATTAACCCTCCACAAACATAAATCACAAGTAAATGTAAATATAAAACCCATTAAACACATGTAAATACCAAGTAATTAAGTTATAGTAGTCTGCAGTTTAGGTAAGAGAGAAGGAATAGGGCTTGAAGATATTTGAGCATACGAGGATTTACTAATACAGTACCTATAAAAGACAGTGATAAAGTACCTAAAAACTAAACCAACTAGATCTTCACGGCCACACAGTTACGTTGAAGATCTAAGATGACTTAGAAAAGTGCTGAGGATTAAGGTGTCCCTTAATTACTGGACACAGTACTGTACCAAGCCAGTAAACATACAGGACAATGTTTACAAGAACTCTGAGTGATGAAATGATTACAAATGCAGGTTAATTAGGGTTAGGTTAAATTTTTACCTACAAGGATGGAATTTTAAAAATTATTTACAAGGTTGGGTTCCTGCTTTACTTACAATCACATATAATAAACACTTTTCCTGTAATAACATGGACAGCTAATTACTTCTGTGATCCAAGCAGTTCTAAAATGAATATCTTAGTGTTTCTGTAACTCTTTAAAAAAATTTCACCTCACCTTGTACATTAAGCCATGCACACTAGCCCTTATACACTAAGCATTTTACACTAGATTTTGTACACTAGCCCTTGTACTCTAACCACTGTACAGTAGCCCTTGTACACTAGACCTTGGTACATTTTACCTTGTTCACTAGCCCTTGTACACTACACTTTGTGGACTAGAACTTACACATTAGATTTTCCACACTAGACTCAGTACACTGGACCATGTACACTAGACTCTGTACACTAGACCTTGTACACTAGATACTGTACACTAGACTCTGTACCCTAGACTCTGTTCACTACACCCTGTACAATGGATCTTGTACACTAGACCCTGTACACTAGACCTTGTACCCTAATCCCTGCACACTAGACTTTGTGCACTAGACTCTGTACACTACACCCTGTACAATGGATCCTGTACACTAGACCCTGTACACTAGACCCTGTACACTAGACCCTGTACACTAGACCCTGTACACTAGACCCTGTACCCTAATCCCTGCACACTAGACTTTGTGCACTAGACTCTGTACACTACACCCTGTACAATGGATCCTGTACACTAGACTCTGTACACTAAATCTTGTACACTAGACCCTGTACACTAGACCCTGTACACTAGACCCTGTACACTAGACCTTGTACCCTAATCCCCGCACACTAGACTTTATGCACTAGACTCTGTACACTACACCCTGTACAATGGATCCTGTACACTAGACTCGGTATACTACACCCTGAACATTAGACTCTGTACACTACACCCTGTACACTAGACCTTGTACCCTAGACTCGGCACGCTAGACTTGTACACTAGACCTTGTACCCTAGACTCGGCACGCTAGACTTGTACACTAGACCTTGTACCCTAGACTCGGCACGCTAGACTAGTACACTAGAATCTGTACACTTGATTCTGTACCCTCATTCCTATCCCCAATCTCTTCCAATTCAACAAGAACAAGTGAGCAGCGAGTGACATGCTAATGACAGCAAAGTGAATGGAAGGTGAATATAATTTCATCCACTATCTGATGACTTTTCAGTTAAAGAGCCCAAGCTCGCCTCTTACATGTGGAATGCTAGCAGTAAATACAAGAGGAGGTTACATCACAGGATTGACACTGAAAAAAGATGACAAAATGTGTGATCAATTGGTGGACATGGCTACTTTTTGACTCCCTGCCTCGAGAAGACAACATTTATAGCAAATACTGTATTTATTTTAAGGGTACTAGTTGTGACAGGAAAAGGTGTGTGTTCACAAGACCAGCCCCCAGCTTTACTCTCCCACATCTCACCAAGTGGCTGAGGCATTTTCAAGAGCCATCTGACAGATGGCATTAACTAGAATAGTTGCATCTTTGCAGTCTAGGTTAAAATGATTTAATCTCTGGTGTACAACATGGGTTACATCTTGACCCATTACATCTTCTCCCTGTCCTTACCCCATAAACTTTATCTTGTTCTAGATATCCAAAAAGCCTTTGATAGTCTGGCAGGAGATTCTTCTTGCCAGCCTTCCTTCTTCATGGCTTTTTACAGCTCTTATCTAGCAGTTCTCTTATTGTGTATCCAACAACAGTACACTACCAACAATGATGTAGCTGTATGCTACCAACACATGCACCACAGTATTGTTTTTACCCATAAACCAATAAATGTGCAACCTACTGTGTTGTATAGTACAGTATTTATAAAAATAAGAGTAAATATAAATAAAAAATACCTGTATATAAATGAACAACAACACCAATGCACATGAAAAGGAACATTAATAATATACCATAGACAACTCCCAGAAGTCTGTCCACATGAGAGAAGCTGTACTGCGGGCGCCCGACCATGCACTGTACTGTTCCGTGAGTGTTGCATGAGAAGAAATTTAAATAAATTACCATTCACAAGAAGATACAGTACTGCAATTTACAATATTTGCTCAGTAAAAGTTTAAAGAAAACAATGAAGACTGAGTCCCTGACAAGGAACCACATAATTCAATCTTCATTATCTTGATAAAATAAATCAACTAATGTTACTGCTCATACATCTTGGTCAGTTTTGTTTTTTATACATAAAGATTATAGTTAAAGAATGAGTCCAAAACAATTCAAGTGAATATCACAGGAATAACCTGTTCTAAATTTCATAAAAAAGTCATTAGCTTAAATTCCTTCCACCCATAATTAAAGCCAATTCAATCAACGTTTATCAATAAATACAGTACAGTACTAGAGTACTGTATCTGTAACAGGGCTCAGTGTCACACACAAGTGAAAAAGTGTTTTACTGTGAGGTTTAACTATCACACACCAGGTGTCAACACTAACATGCCAAACATTATTAAATATTGCACTGCATTTCATTCCTCATACTAAATTAGAGATGGTTCAGCAAAAAAAAAATCACTTTGCCAAAGGCAAGGAGACCATAGAACCTCAGCACTTTCGGTTTCTTAAGTAAATTCAAATGTCGGTTTGTTCCACCACTGGATTTGTATTTTACAGATGAAATCTTTAAGTAAAAAATGCATAGAAAAACATATTATAAACATGATGTGCCCTAAATATGTATGTCAGCATTACCTGTATACAGTACTGTACATAGTTATAATTCATCTTAGTAACTTACTATCTCACCTCCCCTGGTCCACTTACTAGTTTTCCATTTATCATTTCTATCACTTATCAGCTTACTAGCTCTTCAGGCAGTTGTTCAGTTCTATATGACCTTCATTGTCTAGTACAGGAGGAAATTTAACTACCAGGAGAAAATCTGCTGTGTGGTTGTCATGCTGATAACACCCTTCTCACAGCTGCCCTGAGCCAGGGATTGAACCCTAAACACAGTAGTAATACAAGCATGCTACCATTGTACCACCAGGAGATTACCGCTGAAATATTTGTTTTAATGCAGAAGCAACACAGGAGAGAGGAAAAAACAACTTTGACTTTACAGTAAACTCCCTCTAACCCAGATTTGCTTAATCCAAATCCCCTTGCAATCCTAACTGGGGTCCAGCACGAATGTTTGCCTGAGCGTGGATGGGGAGAGCTCAGCACCTGCAGCTGCCTGCCTCAGAGAAGGCAGTGGAGGTGGTTGCTGAGTAGATCTAAAGTGTCTAAGAAATAGAATTAGTGTACAGTACAGTATTGCACTGTACATATAGTCAATGAAATTAGCCATGAAAACATACCTCCGCTCCATTTTCGTTGACATTCATTTGGCTCCACTCCTGACTTTACCACTTAGTGTTGCCAATCCTCTCTCTCCCTCAGGTCTGAACCCCAAACACTGAACTCTGAATTCGAAGTATTCCCCCATTGAGCAGGAGGGAGAGGGGGAAGGGTGTGTCGGGGTACAGTAGTTGTCTTTTTGTGTGTGTGACGGGAAGGAGGCGATGGGAGTACTTGGAGTAAGGAGGGAAGTGTACAGTATTTCATTTGGGAGAGATTACAATGCAGAATAACACGTTGACAATACCGATGGGTTTCCTCATCTGAGTATAATCGTCTAGCGCTGGCCAGATGAAAATACTGTACTAAAGTTACAAAAGGATGAGAGGGGAATGAATTCATGTTCTCAGTAAGGCATTCCTTTACAAAAGTGAGCATTTATGAACAGATGCATTATGGAAATGTTAGGATCTATATTTTTTAGAAGAAGCAAAGTTTTGATTAACCCCTTGACTACGAGATGGAATTTCCCCGGCCGAATAAAATTGTTTGGTGGTAGCCAGAATAAAATAGATATTATGACATCGTACTGACGGGATTAAGTAGCAATCAAAACAATTAGGAAGTGGGCACCATATATTTATTGTAATGCAAATTTGATGTGAACAAAAATACTGTAGTTCAGTTGACAGCTGTCTGGTAACGAATCAGCAAACCACGTAGTTCAGTTCTGCCAAACAGTGAGGTAAAAAACAAAAACAAAAAACTATTACATGTATTATTATTATTATAAAATGTGCAATTTATGATGCTAAGCTATATTACTGTTGCCTAAAGGTGTTAAATAATAAAGTTTCTATCTAGTGCAGTGAACGTGAAGGGAGTCCTGGACAGAATTGCTGGTTGAACCCTTGACTCCCCACTCCCCCACCCTTCCTGCCTCCATCACCCAACTTCTACTCTGGGTTTCTGGTAGTCTAATCAATGCAGACAATTTACAGAGTAGAATAATGTTGTGGCCTCTCATTTCTATGAGGCAGTATTTCAACCAACCAGGGTGTGGGAGTTATTAGTCTTAGCTACTTGTTCACATTATTAGGTGTTGGTTAAAATAAATGTAGTTTTCCACAAATTCTGAGTGTTTTTAATTGTTGCATCTTATACTAATTGTTGCACCTTATACTACTTTTCGACTGTATGTCATGGGGGGAATGTAAGACATTTGGGTCGTGGGCCACGACCTCCGGACATATGGGCCACAATCCCTGGAAGGTTCTCAAAGGTACTAAGGGGCTTATAATTTACAGTCAAGAAATTTTTGGTCCATAGCCCAAACATCCACCCTACATACAGCTGGTGGCCCAAAAGTCCTAATACCATTCTGGTGTGAGCCTGTCTATGCCATATAGCAACCAAGTAATGAATAATCATACAAATATTACTTTACTTCATACGTACAGTGATCCCTCGGTTAACGAGCGCCTCGGTTAACGAGTTACCTTCCATAAGATTCTTAACTTCGGTTAACGAGCAATCCCTCGATTAACGAGTTTTTAACGAGCGCCCCTCCACATGTTTTCGCTTGCATTTGGCTGGTCCACCAGCTGTAGTATTAGTCTGCCAATACAGTAATCGGTTCTAGGGCTTAAATTCCTTACTATTTTGGTATATATCAAGAAGTTTGATCTATTCAATAAATTTAAAAGTTTTATATTAAATTTTTTGGTCATTTTAACAATTATTGAACATAATTGAAGTATAGGAAGCTAGTTTTTTGCTCGCCAAACAGCCTGTCAACACACCATACAGGCGTCAGTCTCTGTCTTTTCACTGGAGGTAACTTCTTGCTTAAGACTCTCTTCAACTAAATACTTTTTTCTGTGTTTCCAAGCAAATTATTGGTCAATTTGAAATTTATTTTACATATTGACAATATTTAATGCAGTGCAGTGTTGATTTAAAGAAAATAATCTTGAATTACACCAAGAGAACTAAAATTTTATGGGTGAAATGGCACCATGGGGTAACTTCTCTTCCACCCCAATGCCTTCTCTTCTCCCTTCTCCTCCAAACCCATTCTAATTCCCATCATCATCATCATCATCCAGGAGCCTTCTACATACACACCTCTAAGTAAGTGTACTTTACTACCTTTTTTGTTGAATTTAGGCAATTTTCGGTGAGCTGGAACCAATTACCCAAAAACCCATTGAAACAATGGTTTCGGTTAACGAGTTTTTCGGTTAACGAGAATCCTTCTGGAACGAATTGTGCTCGTTAACCGAGGGACCACTGTATATGAGTTGCTTGAAATATTGGGTATCAATTGTATTTGTATTCTCATCATAATTGCCTCATGGAAATGAGAGGACACAACATTATTTTAATCTGTAAACTGTCTGCAGTGATTCAACTTCCAGCAACTCAGAGTAGGAGTTGCGTGGTGAGTCAGGGAGGGTGGAGGAGTGGGGAGTCGAAGATTCACTCTCGTGCAAAACATAGAAGCAACTTTATTATTAAGACCTTTAAACAACAGCTATATTGCTTTGCACCATAAACTGCACATTTTAAGATAATAATGATAAAATTAATAATACAGGCGGTCCCAGACTTACCAAAGTCCGACTCATGAACGTCGGCCGATACGAACGGGGTTAAACTTGAAATTTACAATGTTTTATTTGCTTGATGACTTATTTTTTTATTTTCATTTACTCTATTTTGTCATTCTATTTCGTCTTTTGTCTTAAATTAAGTGATTTCAGGACTTAGGCTATGATATAGTGGGATTTTAAACATAGTTCTGTAAGTAAAGTATGCACATAGCATGTGTTCCAACTTAGGGTATGCACAGAAAGAAAGCAGGTTGCCAGCACCTAACGGCAAGCGCAATGAATATGACCATGCTATCAAGTGCAGCCACACACAGTAAAAGCAGGTTCAAGCTTGTCGGAGCTGACATCCCGCGCCTACAAGTTTACCGGAATAAACAAACCCTTCTTTTCACGCTTGCCCGAGCGGGTAGACGTGCTGCTGTGGAGTGTGGAGGCATTGCAACATGGATGTTGAGGTGTTGATATCGTGTGTATATGAGAGACCTGCAGTGTGGGACAAAAAAAGCAAACTGCATGCAAACAGAAATGTTGTGGATTAATGATGGGCTGAAATCTGCAAGGAAATGAACTGTGATGGTAAGTAAAAAAATTTTTGGGGGCAGTTAGGCTTTATCATAAAATTACAATGTACTTTCTCAACATTATGTAATGAGTACATAAATAAAGAAAATAAACTGTAGGCAAAGATATTACAATTATATAGGGAAAAAGCTGGACCACAACTCGCTGGTAAACCTGCTTTCTTTCTGTGCGTACCCTTACATACAAATCCAACTTAAAAATTTTCTCAGAAACAGAACCCGTTCGTAACACGGGGACCCCCTATAATAATAATAATATAATACCCTGTACGTATACAGCAACTCCTCGACTTATGACCTACTTGACCTACGACCACCCGCACTTACAACCTGCCTCAGTCTGTAACAACCACCCGCACATACGACCGCCACAGTCGGTACCAAAATTTTTTTCAAATGACGCACACATTTTCTAGACCGAAACTTTTCCGTCCAGTACGAGAGCATCGTGTGGCTTGGGTCGCCTCGTGGCTACAGCACCCACGCCGTAGAGCGCTTAGTTGGTGTTTGGCTGTCGTTGTATCCGCAACTGATCGCGCTGTGTACTGACATTATTTTCGTATTTAATTGACTTTAGAATGACTGACAAGCGTAGAAGTGAGAGTGCTGGTGGTGCTCAGAAGAAAAGGAGACAGTCAATTACTTTTGAGACAAAAATGAAGATAATAATGCAGTATGAAAATGGAAAAACTGTAGTAACAATTTCACGCAACCTAGGCTTCTCGCACTCGACCATATCCACTATTTTGAAGTACAAGGAACGTATTCGTGAGGTAGTGAAAGGATCAGCACCTATAAAGGGAACTATAATAACGAAGAAAAGACAAGGTCCTCTTCATGAGATGGAAAAATTACTTGTGGTGTGGATGGAAGATCAGATACAAAAGCGTGTACCCTTAAGCCTTCTTACCTTACAGGCGAAGGCAAGAAGCTTTTCGAAAGCCTGAAGGAGCAGGCAGGAGATGAGTGCGAGCAAACCTTCACAGCAAGTCATGGGTGGTTTAACAGATTTAAGAACCGCTACAGTTTACATAATGTAAAGGTGAGTGGAGAGGCAGCTAGTGCTGATGTTGTTGCTGCTGAAGCTTTTAAGGAGGAGCTAGATCGTGTCATCGTGGAAGGAAATTATTTGCCTGAGCAAATATTCAATGTGGATGAAACTGGATTATTATGAAAGCGCATGCCTGAATGGACATACATCCACAAAGAGGCGAAAACAATGCCAGGATTCAAGGCATTCAAGGACCAAATTACACTTCTGTTGGGGGGGAATATACAGTAGCTGGTTTTAAGATAGAGCCCTCCATGATCTATCATTCAGAGAACCCAAGGGCTTTTAAATATGTCAGCAAGCACACACTGCCAGTGTTTTATTGCAGTAATAAGAAAGCATGGATGACCCTAGTACCCTAGTACAGTCTGCAACAAGGGATTGCATTCAAGATTTTGTTAATTTTGGATAATGCTCCGGGACACCCACCACACCTGGGCGACATGCACGCTGATGTTAAGGTGGTCTACATTCCACCTTACACTACCTCTATCATCCAACCCATGGATCAAGGTGCTATTGCAGCTTTTAAAGCAAATTATTTACGTACGACCTTCACTCAGGCTGTTGCTGCTACTGAAGGTGAGAAAACGCTCAAGAGAGTTTTGGAAGGACTACAACATTTTGAAATGTATAAAGAACATAGCTGCAGCATGGGATGAGGTTACAGGTCAGAACATGAATGGAATATGGAAGAAAGTCCTGAAAAGATATGTGAACAGTTTCAGAGGATTTAATGAAGATGAAGTAATTTCTGAATTAGTAACAAGACAGTGGAGTTGGGTAAACAGCTTGAGTTAGAAATTGATAATGAAGATGCTGAAGAGTTGGTTGAAAGTGTAGCAGAAGAGTTAAGTAATGAGGATCTTATCGAACTGGAAGCACAGAAAAATGCAGAAGAAGAAGAGAGTCTAAATGTAGAAAAAGAACCTGCGCACCCCCAAAAATTTTTCAGTGAAGCAAATGGCAGAGGCATTTGCTACAATCAATAAGGGGATGCAAATGGTTGACGAAATGGATCAAAATGTTGAGCACTTTGCCAAAGTTGACAGAATGTTCCAAGATGCACTTGCTTGCTACAGGGAAATTTATAACAAAAAGAAAAAGCAAACTGTGCAGTCTAAATTGGACATCTATTTTAAGAAGTCTCCCATTGCTGTCGCCTCATGCCCCACCAGCGCTGCCTCTTCACTCCCTAAAGACGATCCAATACCTTCAACCATCACCAAATCAACCACACAAGTATAAGTGAAAGTTTAGAGCTAGAGTCAAAGGTTCAATAGCCTCTTCCAGAAGTCTCTTGTGAGTATATGTAAGTCTGTATTTGTCAAGTTTATTATAATGGTCAAAACATCAGGGTAAAAACTCGTTTTTGGTAAACTGCAATTTTGGACAATATGGATCTTCAGTTGAGCAATGTGTTTTTCCAATGGTTTAGACAATTGTAAGACACCTTTCTTCTATGACGTTTCCCTCGCAAATTACTTAAATATACCAGGGGATCCATGAGGGCGGAGCCCCTGGTTAGGAGGTTAGAGTTGTTAATTTTTGGTCATTTGCGATGGAAATGTCATAGAAAAGATGTCTTAAAATAGTCTTAGCCACCGGAAAAACACATTGCTCAACTACTAGAGCGTATTGTCCGAAACTGCAGTTTTACCTCGTTTTTATCCCAATTGGGATATCAACTACCTTGTTAATATTGATAAAAAAAAATGGAAAAAAATAATTTTTACCACCTAAACCTAACGTACTACCCTAACCTAACCTATGATTGCCGGTTCCTAGCTAAAAAAAAAAGAATCCTATCGTAGTCACCAAGGTACAAAATCCGAAATACCTATGATAATAAAACGAATATTAACCAACAACAGTGTTCAGCCAAGCTGGTGTCGTCTGCAACACATCGGCCTTATCATGTCAGGCCGTAATTCAACCAGTATACTGTACCATAATCCTCAACTAACATGCAAAAATACCTTAACTTGTTCACACACACCTGACTGATTTGACTCTGACTGATCACAGACTTCAAGATTTTGGACAACATTTTGATGTTGTTGTTGGTAGCAGCTGCTCCTCGACGGCCCTCTGCTGCGGGTCATAGTGTTCAAAAACTGCCACGACCCTCGAACACCCCCTATATTTCTTAAGTATGCCACAAAAATAAAACATACATGATATATAAAAATAAATCTTGTAAATTAAATTATATTTTATAACTTTTGGTTGATTCTTGTTGCCTAAAAATAAATAGTTCAGCGATTTGCTCGTGGCTATATCTTAGGATTATCTCTTGCTTCTTTTAAAACTTTTCATAAGCGGGTCTCCGTTAACATGCACATCTTAACAATAATGTTGCCTTATTACAATAATACTTGGGAAATATTCATAACAGTTCATCAGCTTATTACATCAATACATACTTTCGGCATCAATACATAAGCAATGATCTTCTGTGACCCTTTGAAATTATCTACAAAATGAAATTTTATTCTCATGAATTTACTTACACAATGAAATTTTCTTATGTACAGTATATATGGGGAATTGGCTACACCAGATACTTCATCGGATTACTACTCAGTTCCATCAATACATCACCATTTCAACACAAAACCGTGGTTCTATAAATACATAAAGATGTTCAAAACACAATCCTCAGGTTAGGATAAGATGAACGGACCCCATCCAGCAGAACTTGCAGAAGTGTGGATGTAACCACCCAATGAGCAACTGTGGGATAATGAGACCCTTGCAAATAAGACTCGCGTGTTCTTTATTCGTTCATTGGGCGGTTGCAGTCAAACCGTGTTTCGGGTCTTATGTAGGACTTATTAGCTCCCTGACTTGTTAGCTCACTGGACGGCTAGAGACTATCTTCTGAACTACACAGGAAGCGAGTTAGTCCCCGAGGCCAGGTCCATCTGTTTCACATTTGACACCTCAGCAATGTTCGTTGTCAACACTCCCTCTGTCTCTCTCACGTCTACCTTCACGAGCGTAGCTAGGGGGGGGGGCGGTCCGCCCGGGCGGCAGGGCGGCACTTTTGGGTCTGCTCATCACCCATATCTGCAGCTACTGGAGACGTTAATCCTTCCCTTTGTATCGGCGGCAAGTTAATCCTTGTCGTGTCTGACCTAACACCTGACCCACATCATCACGGCCACGTCATGAGCTACGTACACCCTTGCTATGCGCCCCCCCCCCACACACACAACCTGTAACCTGTTGAGGATTAAGGAAACAACTTCAAACAAGCTGCTCATGTGGTGTGGGTCAGGTGTTAGGTCAGACATGACGAGGATTAACTTGCCGCCGATACAAAGGGAAGAATTAACGTCTCCAGTAGCTGCAAAACCATGCAGTCTCGGGTCATATCAGTTCATGTACAGCCGACCAATCCACCAGTTACAAGCAATTCACTTCAGTTCTCCACAAGTCTCCATCGTGACAAGACGAGGGGAGGCTAGACGACTTTTAAGTTCTCTTGTGTTTTCGATCCAGTTATTTACTTCGTTGGAAGACATAATACTATAAGGTAAGAAATATTAAAGTATTGGTTAAAAAATATTGATGTGACTTTTGCTGCGGTACTGAGATTAAATATTAAGATTTTGTTTCACAGCATTGCGATTTTATACTAAGACACTATCCTCACTGGGGTACAGACAAAAGCCCCCCCGACAAAAGCCACCCAGACAAAAGCCCCCCAGACGAAAGCCACCCAGACAAAAGCCCCCTACTTTGATCGGGGTGGCTTTTGTCTGACAACAGTAAGGCAAACTATATATATATATATATATATATATATATATATATATATATATATATATATATATATATATATATATATATATATATAAAAGAGTGAGTCACTGTGCAATATGTATTTTTTGTAGGGTCACGGGGGGGGGGCGGCAAACTCAAGGGCCGCCCCGGGCGGCACACACTCTAGCTACGCCACTGTCTACCTTTCTTTCTCTCTGTATCCCTCTCTCTCTCCCTCTCTCCCTCTCTCCCTTCTAGTTTATCCTACTGTGGCGGTAACACTCCCCCTGTTGAGCTTGCTCGAAACCCATTGTCTGCCGGGAGTCTCACTATCCGACTCCCTCCAATAGGCAGAGCTTTGTCACTGGACGTATTAACACTGAGTCCTTCGTCTTCACTTTGGCACTTTGCACCAGGCCATCATCACCCGGTACCGCCTCCAATACCCTTCCTAGCATCCATTGGCTCCTTGGGAGAGGATGTCCAGATATGATGACAATGTCCCCAGTGCGGAAGTTGTGGTGCGCCCGGAAGTGCTTCTGTCCCCGCCGGAGTGTCGGGAGTTATTCCTTAACCTGTAATGACCACGGTCGTATACAACAGTTAACGTAAAATCAGACGATTCATATTACGCTCAATAGCCCACAAAACATGTACCTATGCCTTCCTTTGAGTCCCCCGTATGAGGAGTCCGTTTTCTCATCGCTTCAGGACGCCTGAGTCCTTCGTTTTCTCTCAATCTTAGAGTGCACCCGAGACTTCGTTGTTCCTTAGTAATGACAGAATTTGAAATTGCAACTGTGGTTACAATTGTTGAGGAAACTTAGATATGTCTGATTACAGTTGGAACATTCAAGATCCATTGTGAGTAATGTTGCAAGCTTCAACTGTCCTTATTGTTAGTAAAACTTGTCAAGTAAGTGAGTGTCGAGTTTGTCAGTATGGGTGGCCTATCCTTATATCGTCCTTGGGGGTAGCCATGAGTTCCTAGTGCTACTGAAGTTAGATTGTTTTGATGCCCAAACATCAGAGAATCGGATGTTTGTAGTTTAGTTAGTGTCAGTTGTCTATTTTAGAAAGTCATTAATCTACTGAAAAGATTCTGTCAAACTCAAAATCTCCAAGACCTAACGGCTCTTCTCAGGAAGAATTCCTTGGCTGTGGTTTGTGGTTTCCTGTAAGTAGAGTTGTTAGTGCGGGTATAACGTCCATTTCACCTTTTTCCTGACAGACTCAATCTCTGGTTAGATTATAGGGATAGATTTGGAAAAGTAGCCTGACCCGTTACACTGATTTTCATAGTCGATTGTACAGCGACCGAGGTGAATAGAATTTCTGTTGTTGGTGAAATCAGCCTTTCTGGTATGTATGAGTGGGCCGGAACCGCCCCAGGCTCACATATATACGGATGCACATGGAAAAATCACACTTTCGTTACTCTTCCTCAACGCATCTCCAGGTATGTGAACGATTGTTTCCTGCCACCATGTTAAGTCAGTTTAACTTAGTCGATTTTGTGAATATCAGTGTTCATGTTTTAACATAGTGAAATACTCATGTGCCAAATAAGATATAAGTATTGAAGAATAATAAAAGAAGAGAATAAATCTGAAGGATAGTAATGATGAAGGAAACCCGTCATTACAAACCCACCTCTTCCAGAATTGATCTGCAATTAATTGGGCATGCTTCCATTTTCATCGGTATGCTTCTGCTATGGACTGATCGCCTCCAGTGAGCAGGGTTCCCACGTGCATTCGCAGTAGGTGAAGCGGCGTGAGTGCTTCTAGGTCTCTCGGGTCGTTGGATACTGGGGTGATGGGCCTCACGTTGACGATTTCTACCACGGCACAGAACAGGGTGTTGAGTCGCTCGTCGTCTAGTACCTGTGTGCCCATCACCCCCTGGAGAACCTTTTTCACCGTGCGGATCTGACGCTCCCATACTCCACCCATGTGAGAGGCAGTCGGAGGGTTGAACTCCCATTCTATTTGTCTTTGCATGAGTGTGTTCCTTACATTGTTACTGCTGTTCCACTTACTCGCCCCCTCCTGAAGTTTTCTGTTCGCTCCAATCATGTTGGTTCCATTGTCAGATCTTATGCGCTTGGGAGGTCCTTTGCGGGATGTGAACCTCGTCATAGCGTTGATGAATGAGTCTGTATCCAGTGAGGTGAGGACTTCCAGGTGTATAGCTCGGGTGGCCAAACATGTAAACAAGCATCCCCATCTTTTCGCCTGGGCCCGGCCTTGTTTAACCATCAAGGGAACAGAGTCAGTGTCCCTGAACAACCAAGTGATGCAACGGCCAGACCTCAACAACAAATTGGTGGAAGTCCTCATTAGGTTCCGACAAGAAAGGATGGCACTCACGGCTGATATTGAGGCTATGTTCCACCAGGTACGAGTGCTGCCTGAGCATTGAGACGCCCTGCGCTTCCTGTGGTGGACAGATGACCAACTATCGGGAGATCAGGTCACTTTCCGGATGAAGGTACATCTCTTCGGGGAAGTGTGGAGCCCATCATGTGCTGGATATGCACTAGGACGAATATTCAAAGACCACGGGCTAAAGCTCCATGAAGAAATTAAGAAAGCAAGTCAAACTTCTATGTCGACGATCTGCTTCTTTCAGTAGCATCACCAGGGAAGGCGGTGATAGTCACTCACCAATTGAGGCAATTGATGAAGAAAAGCGGGTTCACACTTATAAAATGGATCTGCAACCACAAAGGGGCCCCCAGAGCAGTCCCACAAATGGAAAAAGCCATGGAAGTGAAAGAAGTACTTTTGAAGGATGGCAGGCTCCCAGCTGAGCGGACATTGGGAATCGTGTGAGATCTAGAGAATGACGAACTTGCAGTCTGAATCCAGATCCCAACGAAGCCACAAATGAAGCAAGGTCTCCTGAGTATGGTCAGCTCCATATACGACCCATTAGGAATCATCGCTCTGAGCACCATATGAGCCAAAATCAAATTCCAGGACGAGTGCAGGCGAGGCATCGGGTGGGATGAGCAAATGACCGAACTACATAACCAACGTCCTCTTCATAACCAAGATCCTTTACATAACCAAGGTCCTCTACATAACCAAGGTCATCTACATAACCAAGATCTTCCACATAACCAAGGTCCTCTTCATAACCAAGGTCCTTTACATAACCAAGGTCCTCTACATAACCAAGGTCCTCTACATAACCAAGGTCCTCTACATAACCAAGGTCCTCTACATAACCAGGATCATCTTCATAACCAAGGTCCTGTACATAACCAAGGTCCTCTACATAACCAAGGTCCTGTACATAACCAAGGTCCTCTTCATAACCAAGGTCCTCTACA